TGGTGAGATATTTCTCCTGAAGGCAACAAATAAATGGGTTTTGTTATTTTAATCCAGTCTACTAATCTATGATGCTTGATTGATGAGTTTAAACCATTTACATTCAGGGTTAATATGAGTGGGTGGTAATTTGGTCCTATCATTTTAACAATTTTTTTTCTAAGATTTATTTATTTTTATCGGAAAGGCAGATGTAGAGAGAGGAGGAGAGACAGAAAGAAAGATCTTCCATCTGATGATTCACTCCCCAATGAATGCAACTGTTGGTGCTGTGCTGATCCGAAGCCAGGAGCATGGAACTTCCTTCCAGGTCTCACACGCAGTTGCAGGGTCCCAATGCTCTGGGCCATCCTTGATTGCTTTCCCAGGCCACAGGCAGGAAGCTGGATGGGAAGTGGAGCTGCCGGGATTAGAACTGGTGACCATATGGGATCCTGGTGCGTTCAAGGCCAGGACCTTAACCATTATGCTATCATGCCGGGCCCAGCAATGGGTTGTTCATTGATTCTTCTTCTGTTGTTATTTTGCTGGGCTGTTCTTCACATTTGCCTTCAGTTTTGGTGGGTGCTATTCCTCTTCTCTGTCAAGAGAAGATCTTTAAATATCATTTGTAGGGCAGGTTTTAAAGAGGTGGATTGTTTTAGCTTTTCTTGACTGTGGAAGAATTTTATTTCATTTTCAAAGACAAAGGAAAGTTTTGCTGGGTACATTATCTTGGGCCGACAGTTTTTTGCTTTTAAATTCTGGAATATGTTGCTCTATTCTCTTCTGACTTGTAGAGCTTCCTGTGAGAGGTCTCCTGTGATTTTAATTGGCATTCCTTATATGTCAATTGATTTTTTTCTCATGCACATTTAAGGGTCTTTTCTTTATGTTCAGTTGAAGAGAGCTTGATTATCATGTGTCGTGGGGAAGATTGCTTTTGGTCAATCCTCTTGGGAGTTCTGTACCCCTCCTGCATGTTGTTTCCTAATTCTTTCTCTAGATTAGGGAAATTTCTCTTATTTCATTGAATACTCCTTTAATCCCAGTTTTTCTTTTTGTACCTTCTGAGACTTCAATAACTCTTATATTTGGCCTTTTAATAGTGTCTTTCAATTCTTGAATACTTGATTTAACTTGACCCAGCTCTGTTTCCAGATTTTTGTTTGTTTCCCACTGGTGGCAAGAAATATCTTCCAATTCCGAAATTGTTTTCTTCTGCTTCTTTCATTCTATTTTGGAGTCTCTCCACAGTACTTTTAATTTGCTCCACTGTATTCTTCATTTCTGATATATCAGCTTTCATTTGATACATTGCTGATATTTCCAGTGTGACATATTCCTTCAATTCCTTGAATGCCTGCTTTCCATGCTTCTCATTGTTGATAAGAAACTTTATAACAAGTGCTTTGAATTCTGTATTCCCCATTTTTCAATATCTTCCCTCGTTAACTCTAAGGTTGGCAAAGGCTTTTGCTCTTTTGTAGAGGAGTCTTCTATAATATTCATTGTGCCTTTATTTCTTCTTTTGCTCTTAGTCTTTGTACTTCTGGTTATCAGATTCTTCTCCTTGGGGCAGATTTCTAAGCTCTGTCACCCACAGGTCTACAATTCAATTTTATTTATTGTGATTGTTACATGGCTCTTTATTTGCAGTCACTTGTGCCAATCTCTCCAGCAAATTCCAAAACTGGTTTCTTATGTTAGACTTCCACCATGGTCTCCATAGAGATCATGTTCCTAGCTCACCATTCTCAACCTCCTGTGATCCCATGCTGAGGCTGCACCATTGTCTGTACAATCTTTCTCCCACTTTCGGTCGGAGTAGTTTCAAGGATTAGGGAAACAGTAGGTTTCCTATATAGCTAGGTTGGTGGTGGTACTGACTTTGCTAGAACCTGTTTACTGTTAGATCTGAGGGCTACATGGACTTATTTTGACCCGGTCAATGCCATAGTTGGTATTATTTTCTATGTGGGATTAGTGAAATGTCCTGAGCTCAGTGAATTCACTCCCAGCTTAGCACATGCACAGCTCATTTTTGTCCCTTGCCATCTTAAAGCCTTTACAATACTGTACAAAATGGCACCTGATATGTCACTATTAAAGTTCTTTCTGGACTTATCTTGGGTGGAATCTGTAGAATGCCACGTTGCTGCAGTTCACTGAGCCAGAAATGAGTTCACTCTCATCTCATTGCATGCACAGTACTCTCCATAGCATTTGCCTTCTTACTCAAAATGGCACCCTATCTGGTTCTAGTGGATGAATTGGGCTGTGAAATCTACCCTCTTCCCGCACTGCCCCTCTGGGACCTGCTACTCTGTCTCTGCTCCAAGTCAAATCAAATAAACCAGCAAGATGGGCAGTACTTTGTCTGGGTTCACCTCCTGATCTCCAGGTGAAATTCCCTTTCCACGTTGTTGCTGGTGGAGTTCTGCTTGCTGTTGCAGTTCAGATCACAGTACATTGAATGCCACCGGGGTGTCAGTCACTATATACCACAATATTGTTTTCACTGCTTTCCTGCGTCTGCCAGTCTCCAGTTACCCCTCTGCTGTTGTTTTGTCCTCTCCTGTTTCCTGGAATTTACCCTCTCTGCTTCAAACTGGTTAATGTTCCTCTGTCTGTTTAAACATGTCCTTACCCTATTCTGCCATCTTGATTCTTTTCTTTGGTGTCTTCTATTTCTGTCTTTAATGTTTTGTAATTTTCATCTTAGAGATTTCTCAGATTTTTGCTTAAATTTATTTCATGTTGTTGAAATTCTTTTGCAGCCCTTGTGAATAAGACTGATAGTATACATTTTATTTCAGCCATGTAATCGTGTATACAAAGACTATTGATTTTTTCATCTGTTTATTTTATATCATACAAAGCTCCCATGAGATTTAATAGAGACTTAGTAGAGTCTTCTAGTTTTTATACATAGAGAATCATATCAACTGCATTCATGCATAGCTTAACTTTTTCTTTCCAATTTATATGTTTTCCCCCCTTTCTAATGGCTCTGGTTTGAACTTCCAAAGTACATTAAATAGCAGTGATGGCAGAGGGCATGTTTGTCTGATTTATATCTTTTTTTAAAAGAGTTTTAGATGATTTTAACATAGTTGATCAAAGTAGAATGGATCAAGGGTTAGCAAAAATGGGTGTTATCTTTGTTTCTAAATTTTCTGTTTATCTTTTGTGTTTCTGGGGCTGGGCATTGAGGAGGAGAAAGAGAGATCCATAACCAACTTCCAAACTGCTCCAGTACCCAGGGATTGTGCATGTCTACCGAATGTCAATCTAGGGGCCCAATGTGGCACATGCTCCGAGGGTTCTGACCAGGTGGTTTAGATAATTCTGAAATGTTGTCAGTCTTACTGATCTTAGGATTTGCCCAGATATTTGCTGTTATCATTTGGCTGGGATTGTTATCCAATTTGTTCCTCCAGTTTTCTTATAGGTCCATACCTCTAAGTATCTAGAGCTCGCCTAGCATGACCCAAGGATCTATCAGCTTATCTCAGTATCTGGTAGGGCAAAAATAGCAGGTTGCAGGCCTAGGTTGCCTTCCCTCTAGGAATAGCTCCTGTTGGGCGTGCCTAGTGCAACCCAAGGTCCCACCAGTACCTCTCAGCATTTGGCCCATAACTTTGTTTTGTATTTGGTTATGTCATTCATTGTTCCATCTAAACCATTGAGGAGGCTTTGATTTGCAGGCACAGGGATCTGTTCATGAAAGTCTCTCAGAAGTCTTTCCCAGTCAGGAGGGGAGCTCTCAAGTCCCTGCATGCCCCCATCTGTGTCATAATCCAAACCACCTTGAGCACAGAACCTCAAGCACTCAGAAGTTGCTGCAGGGTGGCCTGTGGTGAGATTGTTTCTTCTGTATCACTCAGCCTTTTGTTAAAGTTTTCCACTGAATTTTTTGAAAATTTAGTTCTTCATTTCTAATATTTCATTTGATTTCTCAGTCTCATGGGAACATTTCTCATCCATGTTTTCTTAACTCATGCATTTGCTTCTTATTTATTTAAAAATATTTTTTATTTTATTTAAAAGATATGTTTACAGAAAGAAGGAGTGACAGAGAGAGGAAGGAAGGGAGGGAGGGAGAAAGAGAGAGAAATATCTTCTGTCCATTGGTTCACTCCCCAAATGGCTGCAATGGCTCGAGCTGAACCAATCCAAAGCCAGGAGCCAGGAGCTTCTTCTAGGTCTCCCATATGGGCTCAGGGGCATTATTATTATCTGTTGCTTTCCCAGGTTAGGAGCAGAGAGCTGTATTGGAAGTGCAGCTGCTAGGACATGAACCAGCAGTCATATGATTTGCTGGCACTAGCAGATGAGGAAATTTGCTTGAATCTGTAACAGAGGGCAAAACCTTGCTTCATTAACACAGCAACCTTTGGGAGAAGGTTCTTTTCTACAGACTGATCTGGCACCATAGTCGGTCCAAAAATTGAGCTCCCATGCTATATTATTTCATTTTCACCAAGAATGTTGCATGTACAATCTTATCACTTCAATAAAATGTGTGAGTGTGTGTGAAAGTGTGTGTGTGTGGAGGGAGATTGCTTCTCAATATCTTCTGTTGTGCCGCCCACACCATGTTATTGGCCAGAAACAGTGGTACATGTGTATCAGGTTCATATAGGCAGAGCCACTGAAATCAGAGAGACTAGGTCTTTCTGTGTGGTAGGAATATTTCTTCCTAAGAGAGTTCAACAAAATTTATTCTATGCAAGGTCCTGTACTTTGTTCCTGCTTATCAGGACTGCCCTTACCAAAGCTTGATGGGTGTAATTAGTTTTTTTTTTAATATTTATTTATTTTTATTACAAAGTCAGATATATAGTGAAGAGGAGAGATAGAAAGATCTTCCGTTCGATGATTCATTCCCCAAGTGACTGCAACGGCCGATGCTGTGCTGATCCGAAGCCAGGAGCATGGAACTTCCTCCAGGTCTCCCACAGGGGTGCAGGGTCCCAAGGCTTTGGGCCGTCCTCAACTGCTTTCCCAGGCCACAAGCAGGGAGCTGGATGGGAAGCAGGGCCACTGGGATTAGAACCGGCGTTTATGTGGGATCCCGGGTGCGTTCAAGGAGAGGTCTTTAGCCTCTAGGCCCCGCTGCCGGGCCTGTAATTGGTTTTTGTTTTAGCAAACATTTTATGCTCTCCAGCTTAGTGATTGACCTCATTGATCATATTTTTGCCTTTTCAATTGCAGAAACATGCTGCAGATTTTTATTTTTCCCTGTAAATTTCTTAGATTTGCCTTCCTTGACATTTGCAATGTAGTCCATACTTTGTGAGCATTTTTAATTGCTGCTGTGAAGTGTCGACTTGTTTGGCAAGAAGGTCACAAGAGTTTTGATTAATTCAACATTACTGTTAGAATCTCCTGGCTTTCATTTAAATCCAAACTTCCAGGGCCCGGCGTGGTGGCGCAGTGGTTAAGGTCCTTGCCTTGCATGCTCAGGGCTCCCATATGGGTGCCGGTTCTAATCCCAGCAGCCCCGCCTCCCATCCAGCTCGGGAAAGCAATCGAGGACAGCCCAAAGCTTTGGGACCCTGCACCCGCATGGGAGACCCGGAAGAGGCTCCTGGCTTCAGATTGGCATAGCATCAGCCATTGCGGTCACTTGGGGAGTAAATCATTAGACGGAAGATCTTCCTCTCAGTCTCTCCTCTCTGTATATCTGCCTTTCCAATAAAAATAAAATAAATCTTAAAAAAAAATCCAAACTTTCATTAGGTTTTGCTTAATTATTTCATCAGATAAGCCTGCTCTCCACTTTGTAAGCAGTCTTTCTCTTGTAAAAGGTTAGTCTCATTGACATATTTGTTACATTTCTCTTTTTTGGGGCCATAATTAGACAAGTTTATCATCAACCATGGGGGCTGTGGAGGAAAGGGAGAAAAGCAACCAGTCCCTTGACTTCCTTTTGCTTCCTTAACTGTTAGATGTTTCATTACTCTCCATTTTGTTTCCAAAATGTGATGGGGTCTTGGAGAACAAGTCTGATTTCATAGCAGACTCATGACATGTAACATTGTTTCTATCAGTGGAGATAGCATTCCTATAAAATAATATTGCCTGTTGATTTCACAACTATTTTAGTTTGTGTAAGTATGTTACACAATGAAAACATCACCTAATAATGCATTTGTTAGCAGTATTTTCACTATTAAGTGACACTTGAATGTAATGAACTTTACTATATATTGAATTATTTTTTGTAATCTTTTGAATTTTTTATGGTCAACTTTCTATGCTAGTTTCAAAATAGTATAATGAGTTAAATTTAACTTAATAAAATATGTTGAGACTTTTCCATGCGCTGAATGAAAAAAATGCACGGCTTTTAGAGGTTTGTAATATCATAGGTGATTAGCTTTCTACAAAGGCAATCCAATTTGAATATTTGGGAATCAGGGGATGTGAAGATCTATTGTGGTAATAAACAGTCCCATTTTTTCCAAGACCCTGAGAATATAGCAGTTCTATAGTTCTTTAAACATTAGTTCAGCTGAAGCAGCAGCCTGGACTATGGAAAACTTGAATATGGTAGCTGCCACTTTAAAAAGGCATACTGGTGCAAAAAATACTCAGAGAAGAGCCAGATCAATCAAGGTTTGAGTGATTACCACAAGTGGATTGGTTAAAAAAAAATGATGAGTTTGAGGAAATATGATTGCGGTCTGTATGCTCACTGAATGCTTTCCAAATTGGAAGTAAACTGACATTCCAAGTATATCTAATTTGCATACAAATGAATATTACCAAATGTCAGAATACTGATGTTTGTAAAACTCACTGCTTGTAGGAGGTCACTTTGGGACAAATAACAGCAAAAGCTACTGTTCACAGTAGTTATAGTAACCTCAGACTGAGGTAATAAACAGACATCAACTAGGGTAACTGCCACATTCACTCATAAAATATCTTATTCCTAATGCTGGTGCCAGAATGGAAGGACAAAAAATATTTTTAGTTGAGCCTCCTACCATATTACTAAAGAGTTACTATCTGTAAATGAGCTAAAATACATATTCACAAACTCTTTTAAAGGTCTTTGTGTATATTCACATGTTTAAGTGCAAAATGCATAAGAGCTTCATTAATTTGTCCTGTGTATAACATACCTGCAGCTGAAGAAAGAGCTATTTCACCAAGCACAGTGTAGTAAGAGTGGTTATGTTTTACAATATATGATATTATTTGATTTAGTCTAGTAGAGGAATTACTTTTTTCCCCAAGCATTTCACAAGGTAATTCAAGATGTTATGCTTGATCAATGGGTAATTAAGTTTCACTATAAGCTTGTAATAATGACAGAGTGAGACATGCTGCTCTTATTTTTAATAGCACAGTTGTATAACACTAGAAAATAAATGAGTAAATGAGTGAACAAAAGAACATGGATCAGTCTTGGCCCTATTCTGTTCTGAGCTCATTGAGATTAGTGGACTAATGACCATGTATATAATTGTATGTTAATGAAGCATTCCTGAAATGTTTAATTCCTGATGACATACATGTGATTCTAAAAATGCTGAATTCCAACCACGGTTGGATAAATAACAAATATCCATAAGAATTGTGTATTTTGTGCATAATACTAAGTCAGTGTTGTAGATAATTCTAAGGCATGTTGGGATGTGTGTTGAAAGAATTTTTACTAGGAATTAATTGTAAGCAGTGTTTAGATGTTGCAATTTTACTGATACAAATCCACCTTACCATGTGTTTTTGTTCAATACTACACCAGATATGCATTTTGATAATTAAATAAGGATAGATAAAGGGATTATAGCAATTCATGGGATGCATTGATTATTCAATCAACAATAATTATTATTCTTAATATTTCATAATCAGTAGTTTCAAAGCAACTATCTCATATGCGTTAAGATAGTCAGTCTCTTACAGATCTGAGACAAATCTGAGAATGCTACAAAAAATCTCCAGTTCCTTGTCTGAAATGGTGTTTATTCTTAACTTTCTAAAATTATTGAATTATTTGCAGTTTGCATTGTTTTTTTAAAGTATATTTAAAGTATATTTTCCCCAAAATGTCAGCAAGTAAACTTCTAGCTAAATTAACACAGAGCCGAGGAGAGGAGTCGCACAAGGAGTTAACTAGATCTGTGCAGGAGGGAGTATTCCACAGTGGCCTGAGCATAATGCAGAGGAACGCTGGTTGAAGGTCCCGGGAGTTGAGCTCTGCAGTCACAGATCTATCCAATCAGCTTCTTACCCCGTGTCTTCCTTGCGTGTTAGCCAGCTGCCACTGGGGTTGTTATGGTTTTTGGTCTGATATATCAGAATTTCCTGCTTTGTTCAATAAATGAGGCGCATTCCATCAAAACTCTGCTATTTTTACTACGTTCTGGAGTGGAAATGGGATCAATGTTTTAACATTTTAATATATGATGATATGTTAATATAAAAGCTTTAACTTTAACCTGCCCTTACTTTCATGCTTTTAAATCAAATAAATTAGATTATTTGCAATTGGTGTCTCATTCACTGATGCATACTATTAAGGTCTCTTCTTTTTTTAGTTATGTGAATATAGTGTGTCAAGATTCATAAGTTTGTTCTAAATATAAACTCATATAAATTTATGCAATATGTTACTTCTCTTTGTCTTTCATCAGGCTTTTCCTCAGGTGGTCAAATGTATTTTTGAAGGAATCAACACTTTCTTTAAAAGCTTTTTTTTTCTAGTGTATATGTGTTTTTTAATGTTTGTGAATTTCTTTTCACATCAATAATGTGGGAATTAAGGATGAAAGACTGTAACTGTTTACATATCCAAACTTTTTAAAAGGATTTTGTTGCTATTGAGCCCTCTTTAAGATGAATATTATTTATGAAAAGTAGGTATTTTATGATTATGGATGCTTGATTTAATGAATTGTCTAGTGCCAATGGCTTATTTAAATATTTTGCACTAATTTAATGAGCAATACTGTCAGTGAATGGTAGCCACTTCTAAACTTTGGTCACCCCCTCCCAACTTTGGGAGTGTGCACAAAATAGTTAAGGTAAATGATTGATATCAGATCCCGTTGTCACTCCAACTTTGTTATGCCTCTGCCTTCTATCTCTTCACACCGTTTTCCGATCATCATCCAAATGCTTTCATGTGGACTTGAACAGCTTCTCCAGGGACCCATCTGAGAAAATCTCATTTCCATTTGTCCTCTGTTTTCAGTGTCCCCGCTACAGAGCCTTCTCATTCTTGCCAAATTTATTCCAGGGCCAAGGGTCTTAAAACTTCGTCTTTCCTCTGCCTGAAAATCTGTCTCCCCAAATCTTATATGACTTTCTTCTTTATGTAATCCAAGCAAGCCCTAGCTCAATTTTCACCTCCTCAGAGAAAGCTTCATCCACCACCATTCCAGATGCATGATTCCTGCTCCTCTCCCCTATCCCTTTTCTTATACTGTTGCCTTTTTCCCCCAAATCATTAGTCATGCTTTGAAATTTCATTCTGGATTTGCTTATTTGTTGTCTGTCTACCTCACTAAAATGTCAGTTGCATTAGGTATTTTTTTTCTGAATCATTCATGGCATTCTCACTAAGGCTCATTGTCGGCCTCAAGAAACAACTGATTACACGAATAAATATACACATGAATTTGTACACTAATTAATATAAGCCAGACATTGTAATAGCTTTGTTTCATCTCATAGGCTGTATATCTAAGAATAACTCACCATTTTCATCTATTGAAGGGGAACCTAGGACTGGGGTGGTTAAAGTCTGGAGGCACATTACTTGTAAGTGGAAGAGTTGGGATTCTAATCTAACTTTGATTTATTTTGATTTGTTTAATTAAATATAATAGTTGATTAAATATGCTTTTTCTGTTTAGGATGACAAAGGCTTCATTTTCTGTAAAGATGGTTTAACAGTGGAAGAATAATCATTTTTTCCTTCAACAATCTCACATTCTTAGTTTCAATGGGCCCTGTAACAAGACAGATTTCCAAGTGAAAAACAAATAGTCCATTCACATGTATCATATACGAAGGATCATCAAAAATTCATGAAAAATGCATATGTGAGAAAATTGCAACAGTTTCAAAAATTTTCACACTAAAATCAGCTTTTAATTCTATTTTCCAACACATGTTAAATATATAAGAGATTTATTTATTTATTGAAAGGCAGAGTTACAGAAAGGAGAGAGAGCTCTTCTGTGTGCTGGTTTACTCCGCAAAATGACTACATCAGCCAGAGCTGCATCAGGTAGAAGCCAGGATCCAGGAATGTCTTCCCAGTCTCCCATTTGGGTGGCAGGAGTCTACACTCTTGTGTCATTTCTGCTGCATTAGCAGAGAGCTGGATCAGAAGTGGAGTGTCAGGGTTGAGGACAGATATCAAGGTATGCTGGCATTGCAGGTGCTATCTCCCCCTCCTTGATACAATACGAGCCTCTCCACAAACTTGTAGCAGTTGTGTGTGCTCTTGTATACTTGGAAACATAGACGGGATGAGTAGTTCATACAGATGGGTTTGAATTCCAGTTTATATAGCATCTTCAGCAAAGAACAGTATATATAGAGAAGTGGCAAGACAGAGGAAAGGGACCTTGTAGTAGAAAAAGGTAAATGATAGAAAGGACTCAATAGTAAAATTTACTAATATAGATTCTCTTGGACTATCTTCAGATGATAAGGGTTTATGGTTGTTTTCAATGGTAACCATTATTCTCCCTGGTACAGGGGCTGGGCCTAATATCTTTGTTTCATAATGTGTTGTCCTTTTTTGGCTAATAGGATAAGGAAACTTTCCTGCATCTGCCTGTTCTTAATGTTCTTCAGCTCAGCAATTTTTCACCTTTGAGGGGGAAATTACATTTGCACATCTGCATTTGCTTTTTAAAAACTTGTTCCTTGGGATTTGTACTGTGGTTTAGCAGGTAATCATTTGGGACTATGACATCCCATATTGCCCCCATATGGAATGTCACAAATTGGCCCCCATTTGTGTCTTATCTGTTCCACTTCTTATCCAGCTCCCTGTTAATAGCCTAGGAAAAGCAGAGGAAGATGACTCAAGTGGTTAGGTCCTATCTGCCCTGTGGGAGACCTGGAAGAGCTTCCGTTCTCCTGGTTTCAGCCAGCCCAACCCTGATGGTTGTGATGGGACCCAGTGGATGGAAGGCAATCTCTTCCATTTCTTCTTTCTAATTCTGTGCAACTCTGACTTAGTGAAAAACAAAATAAAACAAAGCAAAAGCCTCAACACAACTAATCTTTCAGAATCAGTGCGGAATAGCCCTTAGCCTAGGAAGTGTGCAAGGATCTCCGTTGACTTTTGTTATTATAAAAAAGCAGGATTGTTTTAGATAGCATATAAAGTGGATATATTGATCAGATTTATAATCAGCTAATGTTTCATAACATTTTAAGTATTAATGGTTTGAATTTTAAAAGGCAGTTCTTAAAAAAAAAAAAAAAGGCAGCTATTGGGCCCAGCACGGGATAGCCTAGTGGCTAAATCCTCACCTTGTATTTTCCAGGATCCCACATGGGTGCTGGTTTGTATCACGGTTGCTCCACTTCCCTTCTGGTTCCCTGCTGGTAGTGTGGGAAAGCAGTCTAGAATGGTGTAAGACCTTAGGACGCTGCACCCACCTGGAAGACTTGGAGGTAGCTCCTAGCTCCTGGCTTCAAACCAGCTTCGCTCTGGCCATTGAGGCTACTTGGGGAGTGAACCAGTGGATAGAGGATATTTCTCTCTGTCTCTCCTTCTCTCTGTATATCTGCCTTTCCATTAGAAAATAAAATATGTCTTTTTTTTCCTAAGGCAGCTATTTCTACATTTCACAAGCCACATGTTACTGTCAGTTTATGAAGTATTTTTGTATTTTCCAACATATAGTACAAATATTTTCTTCTCAAAATGAAAAATTCTGTAGCAAATTTTACTGACTCTTGCCTTAGCTATGTGCTCAGATATTATAGGAAGTGACAAGTTAATTGATGATATTTAGTCATGATTTTTGTCTTCTGGACAAGGACATTTTGTAATCTACTGTAAAAATTATTTCAGCTTTTTTTTGGCCTTTTGGAATATGTGAAAGCATGACAGACAGGAAGTACTTAATATATAAATATCTGTTGCTTCTGAAATGGCCTCCCCTGTCTCTCCTGACTCCAGAAAGCTCTTCCATGGTAGTTTATTAGGTAGAATATTTACAAATTCTCCTTGTTTTCAAATAAAGGAGCATTATTATCTTTTTAGTAAACTTGTCATTATCTATAATTTTACTTATTTTTAAAGGTGTATTTGTTTTGAAAATCAGAATGAGAGAGAGAGAGAGAGAGAAAGAGAGCAAGCCAGAGAGAGAGAGCGCTATCTTCCAGGCACTGGTTCACTTTCCAAATTGGCACATCTGGGAGCTTCACCCAAGTCTCCCACATGGGTTGTGAGGCCTTAGATGACATTTTGCTGCTTCCCATACCATTAGCAGGAAGCAGAGCAGCTGGGGCACAGGCTGGTATCCATATGAGATATTGGCATTGCAGTTAATATTTTTACCTGCTATTTCACAGTGCCAGCCCCTGTAATTTTGATATTTAATGTTGTTGGTTACCAGTGAGTTTTCTGATAAACAATTGAAGTACTTTTTAAGCATACCAATAACCTTTTCTAATTTTCTCTTCTTTGAAAGGATTTCAGTGTCTTTGATTTTTTTATTTCCTTTATTTTCACTAACCGTGGCTTTAAAAAATTTATTGCCACTATTTATTTTGAAAGAGAAAATAGCATCACAGACCAGTTGTCCTTGAGGCAACTTTTCTAACACCGCCTTATTAAAATCCAAAAGTACCAGGAGGATTGTAAAGCCCCACTTCCATGGTTTGCATTCATAATACAAATAAAGATCAAACTGGCATGGCCAGTATTTGTACAGAGTAAACACTGCCCTCATGATCCTCATTGGTTAGGGATAATCAAGTTAGACACCAAGGGTATTGGTGCACATTGTTTGTGGATTGCATGTGGTTAGTAGGTGTTTTGTTTATTTTTTTAATTGTAGAAATTTTATTTTTGACAATTTTTACATATTTGAATAGGGTGCAAAGGGTCAAGGGCTAGAGGAAAGTGGATGAGACCAGTGTTTTCACAATCTCTTTTTTCCTTCCTGTATCTGGAGGGAGGGGAGAGATTGGGGGGAAGCCACACCCAGCCTGCCAACTATCCCAGGGTCCCCAATGTGGGGAATGCTCTGAGGACACCACTCAAGTGGTTTTGATAGTTCAACAGTTCTGTATTTTGGCCAGTCTTGCCACTCCAATCACGATGAAATCTCTCCAGACTCTACTGGCTGACATAGTCCACTGTAGAGTCTCCATTTGCCCAGTTATTCACTGCCAACTCTTGGTTGGGGTAGTTGATCAATTTGTTTTGTCCTCTGTTATGGTACCAGGTGTCATCTGCAGGCTTCAGTGTACTGCCATATTCTCCATGTGCATCTGGATATGCTGCCAACTGCTCCAAGCCACTGAGGAGTCCCAGCTCTGACACAAGCATTCCACAGTCAGACCATGGAATTCTCCATTTTCTGCATGGTTGGAATTTTGAGTCCAGTGGTTCAGATGGGAGGATTCCCAAAGAAATTTCACCTGAGGCGATCCCAGATCTTATTCTTGTGTGTGTTTGCCAGTACAGTGTTTGGCACAGATGTTGCTCAAATCGGCCTACCTGCACACTGTTAGTTGCAATTGCTGGGTCAGTTGTCTCCAGCCCTGTCTCCAATACAAAGTAATGGGTGTTGCAGTCCAGCCCGATCCTGCCCACCACACCCTTGGCCCCTCTCAAACCAGTAGGAGTTGTAGCCTAGTTGGAATGACCTGCAATAACCTCCACCAGGCCCGCCCCCTGTCCTGGTTCCTGCACTTGCCGGTATGTACAGCAGACTGGTCCTCTCTGTCCCACATCCCATTTAGCTCTCATACATGAAAATGGGCATTGAAGCCTAGTTCAACCCAACCAGGCCCCGCCCCCCCCCCCCCCCCCCCCCATCTAGCCTACACATGTGCCGGCAGGTGCCACTCTCTCTGTCTAGCCATATCTGTTCCCAGTCCTGGTTCTCATGCTCACCAGTGGGTGTGCCAACGCAAGAGGGTGGTGCCTGCTGTTTCCCTAATGGGCTCACTCCTACTCCTGGATCCTGTACTCTCCAGGTGGTACTGCTATTTACCTCCACAGAGTTTTCGCCCCATGCCAGCATCTGCTAGCTGATGCTGCAGCAAAGCCAAACCAACTTTCACTCTCTGTGGGTTATGCAAGTATCAATAGGTAAGGTCTGTCCAGCCTGGCTTGTCTCTGAACCAGCTTACATGTAGGTTAACAGGCATTGTAGCCCTGCCTGGCCTGGTTTGCACACAGTCTCAGCTCTCACCCCCACCAATGGGAATAATAACCCAGCAGGTGTGTTTTATTTTGATTGCCACCGTATTGAATTTGCAAATGTTCACAGTAGATCTGTATATTTTAGTTCCTTCCTATCATATAAGGCACTATATCAGGCACTTATAAATGTTGCTTGATTCCTACAGGCAGTTTAGATTCAAACTTTGCTTTAACTATTGAAGATAAAATGGTTGTCTACATGACATTGTATTTATATTTTGATTATTATATCTTAGAAGTAAAACCTGACTTTTAATGAGTTTTCCCTATTGAAAAGGAAGACATGTTAATATTCTTCTATATGTCTCAGTTTCCTTTATTTATAGGTTATTCTAAGGATCAAGTTAAAGGAGATATAGTGTATAATATTACATGTTCAGTAATGGAAGCTATTTTTACAGTTGTTCTAATTCCTTTAGGCTGTCAATTAGGCTTTCAAATACCCATAGTTGGAATTGAAAGCTAATGGAAGTACCTTTATAAAAAATAAACATAGCAGAGTATGTATGCCTGTTACAGTTATTAACATCAATAAGTAACAACAACAGTATATTTCAGGCTACTTCCCTTTGAGAAAACCATTTTCTTAGATGCGTTTCTCGGAACAATTTTCCACAAAGAATATGCTGCATAGTATCTGTATCTATAGAGGGCATCGTCTGTCAATGGTGACAAGTGCCTAGAACCTAGACACATGGGGTTCCTTTAAGCATTTGAAAGAACTAATGGAAGACATTTTGGTTTTTTTTGCAAACTGAGCTGTATTACCCATCCCCTTATTGTTATTATATGTTATGGTTGACATATTTTGGTCTGAGTTTCTGTGGAGGCATGACTTAACAAATGATTATTCCTCTGTGACCCTTTGCTTGCACAAATGGGAATGCACGTGGTAGTACAAAGTTATAATGCATCTGAAGTTTTGGCTTCAGAAGATCACATCAGCAAAAATATGGGCAGCAACTAGTCTACTTGTTTGTAAATGAAATATTTTTCTCTTTTAATGAATAACATTCTTTGTGAGCGAATCTCAATTGCATTTAATATTAATATAGAACTAGGAAACATAAATATCTTCTTTAGATCAGTAAAATGAAAAATCAGTAAATTTTTTCATTGCACTACACAATAATCTGATCAAAAAGTCAATTTGCATAAAACATAACCTCATTGTTTGGGAGGCTGGATATGGCTTCTCTCCCTGTCTCCCCTCTTCCCTCAGATACAGGAAGGAAAAAAGAATATGGAAATGGTGGTCTCACCCACTCTTCTGTAGTGCTTGACCCTAAACACACTGCTCAGCTATGTAAAAAATCATCAAAAATTAAAAAAATTGATAATTAAAAAAACAACCTCACGATTTACAGATGGTCAATGGGAATTTTCCATTCCAAGAAATAAAGCAAAAATAGTACGATATACAATGAAGTGTATTATATAATAAGACCAACCTAACTTTGAAGGCATTGCAACAATACAAAGTGTCTCAGTTTTCATTTCATGGCTGCTATAGCTATAGCCCCATTCTTTAAATGCAGACTGAGGATTAGGGATGGTTAGTAAATGTGCAAAAGTCTTGTATTCTTGTATCTAATTAGGGCCTGATTCAGAATTTTGAATCTCCACTGACTTCAAAACCTGTAGATCAGAGTACATGGCATCTTTAAATTCTTTTTCATTATGAGCCATATTGTTAGGGATTTGAGAACAGGTGTTCCCCCAGCCTTCTGGGAGCTGGAAGGTGAGACCCAGGAAGTGGCAGCAAACTTTCCCAAGGATTACCTCAGGGAATAGCTCACAGACAAGGCCCTGAGGCGAAGTCAGAAGAATAGCTGCCCGTAATTAATCAGTGTGACAAATGGCTGCAGTGAAAAATACCAGCTGTGAATCAGGAGTCTGGAAGAGAGGCATGAGAAGGCAGGGACAGCATGGGATATGCTGTGGATTGGGATCTCATTTTTGTTAAAAACGTAGTAGCACAGTGAAATTCCTTAGTATTGATGGGTGTTACAAGGAAGTAGATGGAGGGGATGGCCAGTGAGATTGGCCTTCTGTGTCAGCCTTGTAAGAGCCTCACCCTCACAGGCCGGCAGGATATAATCTCTTTCGTGAATGTGACAATCCTGGGTTTTAACACTAGAAGTCATATATGGAGTAGGGCAGTGGGTAGAAAAATGCATCAACATCACAGGCAGATCTGGTGGTACCCGGCCTCGTCCCTCCTTGCCCCTAATCTATGCTCTGGAATAAGCTTTTCAGCATTCGTATGGGCGAGAGTCAGGTTTTGCGGTGCAGTACCCTGGAAATGTCACAGCAGTTTGAGAAATGGTAATTTCCCAGAGGAAATTAGGCTTCATGGCCTTGAAGCTTGCATACACTTTCACATTCTTTTACTTTTTTTTTTTTAATGTGACATTTTCTCATCTTTGTACTTTGTTAGCATTATGGAACCAACCAGTGGTGTGAAACAGAACTGTCAAACATAATACAGAATTCTATAAAACTCAGAAAATTGAAACTCTTAGTCACTACACGGGGCCCAATTTCAGGTGCATTACATGCTCTGTCATATCGAGTAAGACTGTGCTTTGAGCTCTGTCACTATTACAGCTCTGTGCCCCACAGATCATTCAGTTGCTGCAATATTTTCATTTTTTCGAAAAAACTACTTTATCCAATGGCATTGGTGCTGAACAGTGATGAAAATGACAGCCAGCAGAATCATTCAGGGAATTTAATCTCAATTCCAAATGCATAAGCTTGACTTCTGCGCAGTTAGAATACTAAAGGGCTGGGGAAAATGGTTTTCAAAGAGTCAAGTCGTGTGATAGCAGGGACACAAAAGAGCTTAGTTATGGATAACAGAATTGCTCTTAAGAGCTTCATCCAAAGATAGGAAAGCAGATAGTGTCCTTCTGGGTCTTTTCTGGAACAACTGCTGACTTTTCAGTGTCAGTTGAACTAGAAGTCTATTGCCATTTATTTACAAAAGTGAATCAGTCTGCAAATCTGATGACATCTTTATTTCTGTTGAATAAAATATATTTATTGAGAACTCATTGTATCTCACACAACTGGAAGTCATGTTTGAGAATCTCTTTGCTGCCTTTTTTAGCTGAAGAGACTGTGACCATTGTCCTAACTTGTTCTGCGCTCATTCTGAGACAGGGATAGCCAGGTGAGTTTGATGATGAGTACCCCCACCTTCCAGGATATCATCCTAGAGAGTATATACGGGGCACACTTACCCCAAAACTGGTGATTACTTATCAGAAATTAAAAATTATTTGCATGTATTTTGTATTTATTTGATAAATCTTATTTGATAATTTTCTTGATAAGTCCTATATTTGTACAATCTATATTTATTTCAAGAAAAATATAAAACATATAATTTGCTGTGTACCTATACAATCATATTATTCTTTTATATTATATTTATTTTTTAATTGTTAATAACATTGTATTATGTAATACAGTTTTATAGGTGCTTGGATTTCCCCCACTTCTCCCACAACCCTCCCCCCATGGTGCATAACCACCGTTCAAGTTCAGTTGAGATTCCATCATTGCAAGCACATACCCAGCATTGAGTCCAGCATCTTATTGTCCTGATAATATTTAACGGCTTCTTGGGGAGGCCTTCCCTGGTCTGAAGGCAAAGCTAACAGAATAAAATCCCGGTCAGTTAAAAGTCCCAACAAAACATCAGCAACAATATATAGTGTTATGGAATTGATTGACATAGTATTGAGTAAACAATATGTTAAAAATAATGCAAGTTCAATTTTTCGAAACATGTGTTGAGACAGTATCAATGACAGGATAAAAAAAATACAGGTTAAATTAAGGCAAACATGTGGTATCTAACCTTTTGGGATTTGCTCATTTCCCTTAGCATTATAGTTTCCAGTTGGGCCCATTTAGCCACAAAGAACTACATTTTGTTTTTTTTAATAGCTGAGTAGTATTCCATGGAGTAGATGAACCAAAGCATTCTTATCCAATCTTCTGCTGATGGGCATTTCGGTTGCTTCCATGTTTTTGCAATTACTGATTATGCTGCTATGAACATAGGGATGCATGTTGGTTTGTCATGAAATAGGTGCTTTGGATATATTCCTAGGAGTGCTATTGCTGGGTCATATGGAATGCTAATTTTGAGTTGTTTCAGTGTTCTCCATACTGATTGCCATAGAGGCTGTACTAGCCTGCAGCTCCACCAGCAGTGGAGTAGGGTTCCCTTTTCCCCACATCCTCGCCAACAAGTGTCGTTGGTGATTTTTTGTTTGTGAGCCATTCTTACTGGTGTTAGGTGGTACCTCATCGATGTCTTAATTTGGATTTCCCTTATTGCCAGGGAACTGGAGCATTTTTTCATATGTTTGTTTGCCATTTGGGCTTGTTCCTTTGTGAAATGTTTGCCCATTTCCTGTGCCCATTTCTTGAGTGGTTTGTTTGTTTTGGTGTTTTGGTTGTTTTGGAGTTCTTTGTATATCCTGGAGATTAGCCCCGTATCACCTATGTAGTGTGCAAAGATCTTCTCCCACTCTGTGGGTTGCTTTTTTACTTTGCTGATTGTTTCCCTTGCTGTACAGAAGCTTCTTAGTTTGATGTAGTCCCATTTGTTTATTCTGTTCTCAACTGCTATTGCCTTTGGTGTCCTTCTTAGAAAGTCAGGATCTATTCCTAGGTCTTGCAGGGTATTTCCTACATTTTCTTGCAAGAGTTTGAAGGTTTCTGGATGTAGGTTTAGGTCTTTTATCCATGTGGATTGGATCTTAGTGTATGGTGATAGATGTGGGTCTATCTTTTTGTTTCTGCGGGCTATCAGCCAGTTGTCCCAACAACATTTACTGAAGAGGCCTTCCCATTTGCTTGGACTGTCATTGGTCTTTTTGTCAAAGATTAATTGGCTGTATCTGTGTGGGTTCCCTTGTGGTGCTTCTATTCTATTCCATTGATCTTCCTCTGTATCTTTGTGCCAGTACCAGGCTGTTTTGATAACCACTGCTCTATATAGTATGTC